TTACATTGAGATGTAATCCATACCAAAGGCTGTGCTCTTTGATCTTCATCAGTAAATGTTTTAAGTCCTCTTCACTTTCAGCAAGCAAGGTTGTATCATCTGCATATCGTAGGTTATTAATGAGTCTTCCTCCAATCTGGATGTCACGTTTTTCTTCATATAAGCCAGCGGGGTCTTCAAATGTTAGCAGAAAATGGAATTAAGAGATAATTATTTGAAATCCATTTTTTTTTTTAAAGCTTTTATTGTGACTTGAGTGATAGTTTACATGGGAGAACATGGATTTTGCACTCAACCTATCGTATTTTGTTTCATTGCAATGTTTACAATCCCCTCAGTATTTGCTTCTATTCCCTCTGTTTTTTTTTTTTGTTTTGTTTTGTTTTTTAATGTACCCCAAAACTTGGTTTAAACAACCAAAGGGCACATTCTGCAAGCCTGCCTCCTGGCCGGAGGCACACAGTCTTTCTCTTTCCATGAGTCTAGAGTCCTCAGCTGCTCTGTCTCTCCATCATCTCTGCCTCCATCTCTGGTTTCACAGCTTCTCTGGTTAGGGTCCCATGTTCCTGGAATGTGAGATTAACTTTTCCCCCTCTTTATGTTATACAACTTCTACCTTTACAGCTGTGACAATTGCAATTGGTGATGATAACAATCAATTCTATTTCCCACCAACTTTTGAAGCCCTCTCACATAAATACTTCCAAGGGAGAAAGTGGCGTATGCCAGTTACCTGACTGGACAGCAGTAGAATTGCCAGGATTAGCATGAAGTTCTACCACTAAAGTGTGAGCTGTTCACATGGTTACATCATGTAGGAAATAAGTAAGTTTTTGGTGAGAAATGTTTTATGTGGGTCATTAGTAGCTTTTCTTAGAGTTGAAGTGAGATCTCCATGCGAGATCAGTAAAGACTGGTGGTAAGAAGCTGAAAAGAGTAAGATAGGCAGGATTTTAATGAAACATTTAACTATGGTACCGTGCTAAGCACTTTACATTGAACCGTTCATTTTGTATAACCCTGTCAGAACAATATTTCTCCATATTACTGCTGTGATAAACTAAACTTCAAAGGGTAAACCCGTGTCCTCCCTGCTAAGCAAAGAGCAGTCAGTTGGGTTAACACAAATTTGTTTGGCTCCAAAGCCTGGAGTTTTCCCACCGCTTCAGTGTGCAGAGATAAGCAGGGCCGGGCCTCTCCTTCTACCCAGTGATTTATTTAAAAAGTATACTAGTATACTGATACATTAAAGCATGGTGTATTTCTATAACAATTTTTATGCATTAATAAAAATGAATTTTTTTCTAAAATGTTTGGTGCTATGAAGAGATGTTCATTGTAAAATAGATCAAAAGGATCAAATTTGGGAGGAAAATATATTTGGAAGATAACCTATTTAATTATGAACAGTGATTAACACTGGTTGGTGAATTCCAAGTTACTGTAATTTTTGCAATTATTTAAACCTTGTACTTTTCAGGTTAATAGGAAGGAAATGTGTTGTTATTTTTTCTTATGTTGATTGTGCCTAGCGCATGGAAAGTAGTGCTATCATTTTCATAAGCACAGTACACAGTATCCAGTTTTGAAAGTTTAAGAATATATTAGCACCCATGGAAGTGCTTCATAAAGATTCAGCCAGAAATCTTGCACTTTATGCCAGCCCTAACTTCTGTGTCTGCAATTTTCCTAATCTTAACCTACCTCACAAAACACTTTTTTTAAAGTACCATTTACCCCTTGGTCAAATGTTAGTCAATCGAGTAATCATCATTTCCTTCAAATCTAGATAAGGATGGGAGGAAGAACTTATATGAGTGTTTAATGGATACTTCCTGTGTGGTGTTGGTATTTTATTTGATATTCATAATAACCTAAAATACAGAATCTGCAGCTGTTTTCCCCATTTTACCAAGGAGGAAGTTGTAAATCTGAGATTACGTACCTGGCAGTGCAGTCTCACCACTGGTCGTCGCTATGCTGGGATTCCGGTCCGAGTCTGCCATACTCCAGAACCCATGCTCCTGCTTCCTTACCCTGCTTCCTCTTGTTTAGTTCTTGAGCATGTTTTTAAGTTGGAAGCAAGTTTTCACTGGCAAGCATGGTTCAAGACATTTTTGTAACTTGTACAATCATGAGCTAGGAAATAGCATGAGAAAGGGTCACTACTGATCATAGACAAGCTCTCCTAACAGTGTGCATGTCTCAACTGTAAAAATACTGGCTCAG